ATTTTAAGTTTAAACCAAAGTTGTAATTACTTGAATATGTTTCTTTCCTATATTGAAAATTAAGTTCATCATGATTTCAGCATTGAAACGCAGTATAGTTTTTAGTAACATTACAGCGACACAAGTACGAAATTTTGTGACATTTTTCAGAAATTTTACAGAAGCCAAATCGTATTTTACTTGGAACTCTTATTGGCATGTTATAAAAATGAAATGTTTACAAAAATCAGAAATGGATCCCTGAAATCAGTTGTAATGATAAAAATGTAAACAAAAACACTGATGCAAATGAAAATCAAAATTTTGAACGGGCAATCGAAACTTCAAATTACATCAAATTTAAGAATATAAAAATATTGACCGATTTAAAGCAAAAAGACATTTTTTGAGTACAAAAAAATATTTAGATAGAGAAATTTTTTTTGACAATAGGTGGCCCAATCTTAGTATTTTTTAATTCGCAAAATTTATTGATACCTATGTTTTGTAAAAAATGCATTTTAAAATTCCAAGAAGAATAAATTTTGTTTCTGTAAAATTATTTCAGAAAAATTTACAAAATTGCAGACCCCTAAATGATAGTATTTGATATAAAAGTAATTTTTTTCTTAAATGAGATATCCTTGACCTTATTTTCTTGCTAAACTTTTATACATCAATATTTTTCTTACATGAGATGACTAAACAATAGTACAGTTCTAAGGTGTCAGTATTTTTACATATTTTAAGAATAATTTGTTATTTTGAGCCCTTAAATACTAACTCTCAATGATAATTCCTTTTTAAAAAAATCATGGGGGGCTCCGCTCCCCTGCACCCCCTCCTCGCTCACAAGTTTCGCTCGGTGCTCCCCCCCCCTCTTTGATTTTGACCCTCACTTTTCAAACAGTTAGATCCGCCCCTGATTGAGCTGGAATCTGTAATTGATTTTTGTTCGGTTTGAGCTGGAATCTGTTCGGTTTGGTTGTTTCCAATCAAAGTCTGAACCTGATTGAGCTGGAATCTGTTCGGTTCGGTTGTTTCCAATCAAAGTCTGAACCTGATTGAGCTGGAATCTGTTCGGTTTGGTTGTTTCCAATCAAAGTCTGAACCAAGTGCAAGAAATTCCCAGAAATTTTCTCTGAATTGGTTATTTTAAGATTTACTCGATGGGGAATAAAAGACATAAAAGCAATAATTTTAACATCAAATATGAAGAAAGAAATCTAAATAAAATGGGTTGAATTTTTTGGATATTTATTATTTAACCAAGTCATTACCCATAACTCGATGGAATGAATGATAAGGAAAACTGCACCAAAGCAACTGGAGTAAATATATGAAAATATTTATTCATGTCTTGTATACATTATGCGACATATTCATTACGCTAAAAAGATTTAGTAATAGTTTTAAACCCAGATGAAGTATTCAAAACTGAAAAATCAAATTTCTTAAAAATTACCTTCAAATTGATTTAAACTAAAAGTTGGCCTCATAAAATAGACAAAATTATATTTATTATCTTTAAAGATTTTTTGAGTTAGATGTTAAAATTATTTAGAAATCAAAGTAAACACACATAAATTTACATTTTAAAAACAAGAGAAATAACAAAATTTAAATCATTGTGTCAAAGAAAGGTAGAAAAATCCAATTCATTTCTAAATTTCATAACTGATACATTTGCCCATCTCTCCCCCCCCCCCCATTTAACAAATACCCAAGTTGAGCCTTTGGGATGAATGGATGAATGCATAAATGAATGAATGAATGAAGATGAAAACTCTATTGTCTCTGACAGTTGGAGCAAACACAGATTCACAATGTAAATTGTACATAATACAAAGAATATATATCCTTACCATGTTTTTATATCCATTCATCTAGAGTGTGTAGAGTGTAGAGTGTAGAGTGTAGAGTGTAGAGTGTAGAGTGTAGAGTGTAGAGTGTAGAGTGTAGAGTGTAGAGTGTAGAGTGTAGAGTGTAGAGTGTAAAGTGTAAAGTGTAAAGTGTAAAGTGTAAAGTGTAAAGTGTAAAGTGTAAAGTGTAGTGTGCCGTGAAAAGTAGATCTTGGTCTCGGTATTCGACACGAACAATTAAAAAAAAGTAGAAAACAATCCAATTCTTTTTTATTCTAACCTTTGTAATTACAAGTTGACAGATGGTATATTTTGATATGTTGAGGACATTTGCTCATTATTCTGTTTATATTTATAATTTCTTATTTTAAACAACAAAAAATCATAAATCTTCTATATAAAGTAGTAATCTTTGTATGTAAATGTATGTCAATGTTTTCGCAGATTTTTATTTTTAATAGGGTTTTTTTTTAAATCTTAACAGTCGACATTTTTCCAGGGAATTTGTTTTCGTTTCGATTTATAAACCTTTTCTTGGGTCATGTGAGTTGCCACAAAAATTGGTTGAGCCTTTTTGAAGTTTTAGGATACAAACTAATAAACCAAATTTATCTCAGTTTTCTTTACAAGTTAATTGAGTTGAATTCTAAAGTGAAAACTTAGTTTCCACGCAGAGCTGGGTTTCCAAGCTATAGGAAATACTTGTATAGCATATTTTTATCAAATCAGATAGTTGTTTTCAAACGCTAAAGTTTTAACCTGTTTTATTGTTAAGCTTAAGATACTTTTACAAAGAGGGGGAATTGTTTTAAAAGGCGGCAAGGCCTTTGTCTGATTTTTCCTGCTAAAAATTGATCAGTGTGCAGTTTAAAATGGAGAGTCACTTACACGGGCAGCCGTAGTACATTTGAATTTCCGAGCCGGGTCAACCTTTCCGGTCCCAGTTTGTCAGACATTGGGTTAATAAAGCAGACTCCTAATAGGACTAGCCGGTGCAACAAGGTTGACGCGGTCAGACTTTAGGTTGAATTTACTTTTACTAAAGGGTCAGAGTTGCGTGCATAAAATAAGTCCAAAGGCTTTTTAAAACATTAATAAATATCTTAAAAAACAACAACAACACGATTTTAGCAACATCTTTTTTTCTGTAGTTTTTTTTTTATAAATTTCTATATACTCCTAATTGAATAAAGAGGATACACATATATACTAAGCTATACCAGAGCTCTTCGTACTTACGATTTTGAACCTTTCAATGTATCGCCTTCCATTTATTATGAAGAATTTCAAAAACCTACTATACAAGGATTAGAAATTCAAAACTTGTTAAAAACATATTTTTAATTTGCATTTCAAATAATAAAAAGGACACAAGGCCGAGAAAGGTCACAAAAAAATATTTGGTCAGTCCTTCTAGACGCTTATTGGAAACTAACAAACCATTACCCAACAGACAAACTATATCTATGAATAAAAGATTATTCAGATTATTTATTTATGACTCTATTATTACAACAATTGGTAAGTTCAGAAATAACAGTATACTTAATATCAACCAATTATATCAAAATGGAAATAATCAAAAGGATGGATATAAATAAACAGAAATACAAACAATGAAAAATCTATATATGGGATAAATATCTGATAAAAATCTATATATGTTTCATATTATAGATCTTAGGGTTACCACGTATGATTCCCTGTAGCTATATAAACTTGTTTCTTTCTATGCCCAATCAATAAAAAGGCCATGAAAGACTATACTCAAGTAGAAGACCTTGGAAGCGTCAGATTTATAGAGTTCCAGGTCTTGTTTACAGTCTGATCCTTCTGTGGGTTCCCCTGTATAATAAAACTTTGTCCTAAAGCATGTTTGTTTATATTATTTCTCCCAGAAACTGTAGTGAACAAAATATATACTTTGTTTGTTTGAGGGTTTGTTTGTAAAAATGGCGGAGCGATCGAGCCCAAACTATTTGTGGAAACTCAAGATTAAAAAAGAAGGCCAGACTTGTGAAGTCCTTGTTTGATAACTGTTGTTTATAAACCTTCAACCAGTTTGTGAGCTGGTCCAACTGAACTATGAAAATAAACATGTGCATGATTTTATTAACATTAATTTTATCATTTCAAAAATTGGTTAAAAATGGATTGTGTATTATTTAAGCCTGTACATGACCCTTTTAGGAATGGCTACCTGAGATTATGAAATTATAGAACTTTTAATTAAAACTCTATGATTAATTTACTCTCTTTGATCTTGGCCTAACACCGTGGGCCCCATGTTAAGAAGTCATTCTGTTTTATACAGCAATATCGGAAGAATATTATGCAATTTAACAATTTTATTAAAGTTTACGTTTGTAAAACAGGGATCCAGTAGCACACTCAACTAAGCTATCGGCGTGTACTGCAGTGATTTGCAGTACATTACATTGCCCGAAGAAATAGTTTGTATTAGAGATCTAATGGGGGGGTGGGGGAACAAGGTTTCGGAACCACCTGTTTTTCTCCGGTTCTTTCTATGTTAAAGTCTCATGCTCTATGCTGTACCGACCCAGCCTCATGGCCTCTGCTGTCTCCGGCAGAGTGACGTCACTCTGACGCAAACAATCCCCGAGACAGTACAAGGAACTGACCGGGACAGTACAAGGAAAAGGCCGAGACGGTAAGAAACCCAAGCCGGGTCGGTACACAGAATTCCGTCGGGGCCTATTCAGCACTCCCACCATTCTAATTTATAAATTTATTCCGATGCTAGAAAGAAAATCTAAAACTTTCCAACTTTATAATTTGTAAACCTTGTTTTCTGGACTTAGTGTAATATATCTTTTATCACAGAAACTGAGCATAGTTTATTTCAGTTTTGTTTCCATTATTTATCTTAGTTTTGTGATAAAATAAAAGTACACTAACCATTAAAGATCTTAAATTAGTATTAGTTTTATGAGTCCGTTTTTTTGAGACATTTCCGTGTTGAGGCGTTTCCGTGTTGAGGCGTTTCCATGTCACCTGTTTTTCATGCTTATTCAACATTTTTGGTGCAACTCTCTCTGATAGTACAAGACTCATATATTTCCATTAAAAAAATTTTTTTTTTTTAATTAAAACATTATGATATTTTGATTTAAATTTAATTGCATAATAATTGTTTAGAATGCCCGCGGTCTCCTGACCACACAGAGAGGTTTGCATGCCCACGTCCTGACCGGCGAGGAAGGTTCCGATGTATAGATGACCGAAGCCTCTGTGACGGTTTCTATGATTGCCCGGGCAAAGAAGATGAATCTCCTGAACACTGCTTATTCTTCAAAACGGTAAGTTTGAGTTTTTCAAAAATTGGATCAAATTAATTTTGTTGGTAAAAAATAAGATTTTAGTTTAACATTGTGATAATTTTAGACAAAAGCACATCTGGACATTCTAGCAGAAGCGCTTCTACGATGGGCACGTGGACGTTGAGTGCACTCCAGCTGTGAACAGTGTTGAGAAGAAAGGACTTTTAAATTTACAGTTTGTGACCAAACAAACCGTAGAGGCTGTGTGAGGACTATTTTACAAAAATCAGAAATTACAAAAATTGAATTTAAAATTTTCTCCTCTGCTACTCAACCTTGAAAAATAAACTTCAGACCAAGATTAAATTGGAATTTAATGATATCGTTAAGAATTGATGTTTATCTTCTCTGTATCTCTTCATAAGTCCGCCAAACATGTATATCCGGCCTATAAATATAAAACCGGTATTCTGATTTCCAACCTGCATGGAGTAGAAATAAACCTGGTTTTTTGTCAGGACCCTAAACTTGAGTTCAAACCAAGTCTAGTCTACAAAAGAGAAAAACCGGTTTGGCAGCCCACAGCTTAACTGGTACTTCCCGACCCAGATAAAAAAAACTGGTATTTCATCTGTACAAACTGTACAGCGTGAATAAAACTGTTTCCAGCCTAGTCGATATAAATCGTCTTCTGGAGAGCCATGGTTCCCAATAAGCCATGGTTGAACTTGAAGTGAAACTTTTGTATAGTTCTGTTAAAAGCCATGTGTTTCCTATTGTTAAAACTGGTTTCTGAGAAGAGCTGATGTTTTTTAACTTCGTTTCATTGTACCAAGCTGCAGACCCTGAACTAGGTAAAGAATGATTTTTGTACTTTTTACTTTTACTTTTAAATTTTTGTTGACTTAAAAAATTTCCATTTTCTCAAAGTATCCCGAATAATGTATAAATAGAGAGTAGAGACCAGAGGCCAAATTTTATGAATTTAAACCGCGTCGCTGAACCACTAAACCCTGGTTCCAATTGAGCGCCGGCTCAAATCTCTAAAAACTGCATGCAATTTTAAGTGGAACTGTGGAACCAACCATGTTTGAGGATTTGAGACGGGGCTCAAATTTGTTAAGTTTGGCCTCAGATTTAATTAATATGTGATACATAGTTAAACGATGTACAAATTAAGTTGAACCACTACCCTTCCGCTTGACCTAGCTTACAGGAAAATTCAACTTATTCTACACTATTAAACTTATTTTTTTCATTAATTCTGATCACAGTTATCGAGTTAAAATAACATTGACCAACACTACAATTAACTGTATTAGCTTTTCTTTCAGATAATCAGCGGTTGGCTTACAGGTTTCTATATTTGAGAGACCAGCATAATCGCAGCTCTTGGTAATCCATGTTCTTGGTGATCCTCGTTCTTGGTGATCCTCGTTCTGTGCGATCCTCGTTATATCCTTCTCCTCTTCTTTTTAAATACTCTAATACGTTAATATCTACAGAATCTCTAAATGCAATAAAGCAAAGAGAGAGATTCTAATGGTAAAGATCACTTAAAACCTGCCTAAACAATATGCTTAATATATTCTTGAATTGGACTATTAGACTTTTTTAAGTAACCCTTTATTTTTAGAGGGACATGTTCGATTCACAATGGGTTTCTTTAGTTTTTTTATCATCTAAACCGGTGTGCACAATTCATGTACAGGTACAGTGTATGTACATGTACACATATAGTGTACATGATATACCTCACTTTTCAGCTAGAAACATAAGTATATTTCCGCCGACATTGATCAGAAAAGGTTTACAGGATACCTTGGAATCTGAAAACTCAGTCTTGAAATGAAGGGTCACTTGAAATTCCGTTTACAGACCCTTTAAACAACATCATATTGAAAATAAATGGCTGATGCAGTCAGGTTAAAAGCTTAAAAATAAATTGTTTATTTGATTCGAATTGATAAAACCTGATATTTAAATTGATTTAATTGAATCGATTCTGCATTTAATGATGGATTTTGTTATTCAATCTCTAGCACAATATGGTATATAAATATATATGTATATATATATATGTAAAGAAATATTATATGTTATATGTATGTATATTATTATAATTTTTTTTAAAATTTTTTAACTAAAAAGTTAAATAGGAACATAATCTAGACAAACTCATTTTATAATTTGTATACTTTTGTCATCCATATTAAAGATACATATTATGTATATATACCAGTTAAACTTTGGATTTATTTGTATTATGAAGAAAATCTCTCTACAATGAAGTGATAAAATGTCAACAAACAAAATTTTGACCAATAAAGATCAATATCTTGATAAAGATTGGCCAAGAAAAAGTTTGTTTGTTTTCAACTTTGACCGATAAGAAACAAGATCTTAGTTAGCATAGACCAATGAGAATCTTAATTTGAATTGACCAATGACAATCAGGATGTTATAAACCATGGACCAATAAAGATTAGGATCTTATCTCATGATGACCAATAGATCAAGATCTTGATGAAAATGGACAAGAGCAGTCGATTATTTAAATTGATAAAAACATTTCCACGTCATTGTACAGGGATTTTAACACAGAACTGATATCAAATCAGAAATAATTTCATTTAAATTATGAAGACATATAAAAGGTCTGCATGATAATTTTTCCTTTGGGCCATGCCTATTAAGTAAACAAAACTCTAATTAGTATGGTTTGAAACAATAGATATATAGTATAATATTATACATTATCCGTTACAAAATTTAGATTATAATAGTTAAAAGTAAATTATTTTTATTACATTGCATTATGCTTTAAATTATAATATTATATTATATCATAAATGTGCCAAAATCCTGTCACAATTATCCTTTTTTACCGTTATTTTTGATTCTGAGCACAACATTTTTCAATTTAAAAAAATTTCTCATGAATTTAACTTAATGTATTATATTCTCCTTGAGCATATCAACTCTGTCAATATATAATATTTCAGGGGAAAACTTTGTAAGAAAAGTTTAACGTTTTGCAGCGTCAGTGTTAAATTATGATTTTACTAGCTTGATAACATTGGGCCATTTAAAAACCTGATTATAAAATAGAAAAAACCGTTTAAAAAATTAACGGTGTTTGTATGCTTATATGCTTTAATAAAAAACTATCAATGGAGACATGCCTAAATTACACATTTTTGATCAGACGACTCAAAAAATCGAGTACCTGTGTCAAATATATATATATAAATACTCTAGTAATTTCATTCGCTTTTCTTCAGTATTGAACCCACTCAAAATAGGTTTAAGATAAAATATTAATTTAAAAAAACTATAACGAATGCCGTCTGAGCAGTTCTGGCCAAACAACCCAGAAATATCGATGTTTTGAATCTTCCAATATAAAAGTTTTGTTAAACATGTTCAAATAATGTAAAATAAAAAAAACTCACTTTGAAATGTCCTAAACAATTGTTAATTCAAACCGATATGTATTGTAAATATGATTCTCTATATATTTTCATTTTTTAAACTCAGAATTTAGAAGAAACAGTTTTTAAGTTCTAACTTTGTTTTACCATCTGATCATATTCAAAAGAAAAAATGGGCTATTTTATTATTTTTTTTTGTAAAGTTTTTGAACTGTGATTTGTGAGAAACACTGAAATAACGTACCCTTACGTACGTACCCTTTATACATAATTTCACATTTAGCAAGTTAAGTTGTTAATGATTAAACTATTGGGAAAAATACGCTAAACTTTTCAATGAAAAAATGTTGTCTCTGGCCCAGAACTATCTATATATTTCTGAATTAATTGTTTCAGTTACATCGTTGTGATATTTAAAGTTTAAGTTAAAATTTTATTAAAATTTGTCAGAGACACGACAGAGGTTATTTTCTTAAAAAAGATATTAAATAAAAATATTATTTAATGTCATAATCTTGAACTTTTTCAAATAAAATAAATTCAAATTGCGAACTCTGCTGAAAAATTGGTTCTCGGGTTTCAATATAAACGAACCAAAATTTCGGCGCAGTAAATAATTTTTAATTATTTTTTGAAAAAAAGTTGCTTGGTTCAGATCATATCGTTGTTGGTATCAGTGTCAAGAAACTTAAAATCTAGGAAGTTTCATTGGAAACTGGTTTTATCAAACCTGCATCCCACAGATGCTTCCTGATCAGTGAATGGGGCTCCTAAAATTTAATTTTCTTGGCACGAATTACATGAGCAGATGCGTATTATTGTATAGTGATACCATTGGCCTTGAAATAAATGTTTAAACACTATAAAGCATTAATCAAAAATTAATATATAAATGTAATAAAAATGTTTCTATAATAAATTTTTGAGAGTCTGTGTAGCTGTAGAGTGTAGATATATGTACTGAAGAGAGAGGGAAGCTAGCCAAACTCTGAATAGTTCTTTGCCAAGTTTTTTTTTATTCCGACTCTCAGACTTAGAAATACAGATTTTATCTTCATTAAAGAGCGGCCTTGAAATTCAAACAGAAAATGGTCAAATTTTTCGAGTTGAATGTTATTAGATATAGATGTTTTCNTAATTTATAATATAATAATAATATAATGATTTATAATAAAAGAAAAAAGGTCACACTAGCAAGCTATTAAAATCAAATTTAAATGCTAAGAAAATTAAAATAGGAAAATGTTTGAAGATATATTAAAAATGCAGAGAGACTGCCTGAGAAGAAAAGAATTATAATAGATCTACAAAAATACAAAAAGGTTTCGGGGAATTAGAAAATTAGATTAAAGAATGCGACAAGGACACTAAATTGAAAGCCAGGGGTGTCAGGGAAGGGTGGTCTACCCCCCCCCCATGTTTTTGTTTATAACTTAAACTTTGACGTATAAGAACCACTAGCAACTATGTAGTTTTATCAAAACATAAACAAAAGCATGTGGTTTTATGTGAAGGGTTTGTTTACTTTAACTTGAGCCAGATATTTCAATTTTTAATAGATCCTTGTGTTAAAATCCAAAGGAGAAGCTCAAATCTATGGGACATTATATATATATATATATAGGGACATTAGGGACTGACCTCGAATTTATAAATGTCGAATTCATTTCAAAGCATTAATATCTATATATCATACTCTTTTTGATTTTCTTTTTGATGTACTTTGCACGATAATTTGTTGATCGTTAGTTGTCTCTTCCAAGAGAACTCCCTGAAATATCGAGAACAGAGAGACACAATCTGTATTCATATTTTGTAACCGATAAACGTCAAAACGGCTGAACCGATCGGGCCCAAATTTTTTGAGGAACCTCACATAATCTCAGGAATATAGATGGTTAGAGTTGAAACAATTTGGCTTACAAATTATTTTTTTCAAAATCCACGAAAAAACAGTAAAAAAGCAATAATAAATAGTCAACGATGGGCGCTAAGTTTCCTACGTTCTCTCTGCTGCATATATCTGCAAACCACTAAAACAAAAACTGCAAATACAAATATAAACTCATCATATGAAGGATCACTTGAAATTTTAACGTTGACAGTTCCTTTCAGGTGTAAATAACCCTACCCCCCCCCCTTGCAGTATATTCGTGTAAGTATTCTTTTAATTATAAAGAGAAATAATAATCAAGGTTAAGCGCAGTTAAAGGGACTATATATATAAACCTAAGCGCAGTTAAAGGGACTATATATATAAACCTAAGCGCAGTTAAAGGGACTATATATATATAAACCTAAGCGCAGTTAAAGGGGCTATATATATATAAACCTAAGCGCAGTTAAAGGGACTATATATATATAAACCTAAGCGCAGTTAAAGGGACTATATATATATAAACCTAAGCGCAGTTAAAGGGACTATATATATATAAACCTAAG